CTACGAGAAGGGGGGGGGGGACAACCCAAATCTCATTATTAAAAATAGATATTACCATCACTAACAAGATCACAAAAATATTTATTTTTAGAAAGGTGCAGACTGATTTGCAAGAAATGTTACATAAATTTTCTGGTGGGTGTGTATACATGTTTATGTACACAGATAGACACTATAGCTACACACGAGTATGTGTACATGAACACACATACTCAAACATTCACACGTAGTATATGTTACCAAGCACAGCATTTATAAAATTACTCCCTTCTTATGCATATAATATCCAAAACTTAAAATGTGGTGAACTCACTTGTTCTTCATGTCAAAAAATATTCTTGAGCTAAAAATCTTAAGAGAAAACACATGGAAATTGAACAACACTCTCCTGAACAATCAATGGATCACAGAGGAAATTAAAGAAGAAATCAGACAGTTTTTACAAATAAATGAAAATGCCAATACAACATAAAGGAATATATGGGACACAATGAAAGCAGTTCTACGTGGAAAATTCATAGCACTGAATGCCCACATTACGAAAACAGAGCGAGCTCAAATAAACAACCTAATGATGAATCTTAGACTCATAGAAAAACAAAAGCAAGAAAAACCCAAAGCTCGAACAAGAGAGGAAATTATAGAGATAAGAGCAAAAATCAATGCAATGGCAATTAAGAAAACAATACAAAAAATAAATGAATCATAGAGTTGGTTTTTTGAAACAATAAATAAAATTGATAAACCCTTAGGAAACCTTATCAAAATAAGGAAAGAAAAGGCTCAGATCCATGCAATTGGGAATGAAAAAGGTGAAGTCACAACAGATCCAACAGAAATCCAGAGGATCATTAATACCTACTTTGAGAACCTGTACTCTAACAAAATGGAAAACACAGAAGAAATGGACAGATTTCTAGATACTTATGAATTACCAAAGTTGAACAAAGAAGATAAAAACATTATAACACCCCAATTACAATCAGGTAAATTGAAAATGTAATTAAAAATTTACCAACAAAGAAAAGCCCAGGTCCTGAGGGATTCACAGCTGTATTTTTTTTTTTTTTTTTTTTTTTTTTTGGTACCAGGGATTGAACTCAGGTCCTTGCACTTGTGGGGCAGACAGCAGAACCACTGAACCAAGTCCCCAGCCCACAGCTGAATTTTACAAGACATTTAGAGAAGAACTACTGCCTTTACTCTTCAAACTTTTCAATGAAATTGATAAGGGAAGCAATACTTCCAAAATCATTCCTGGAAGCAAGTATCACTTTGATTCCCAAACCAAGGAAAGATGCAACTAAAAAAGAGAACTATAGGCCAATCTCCTTAATGAATATAGATGCAAAAATCTTTAATAAGATACTAGCAAACAGAATACAGAGAGTCATCAAGAAGATCATACATCCTGACCAAGTCGGACTTATTCCAGGGATGCAAGGATGGTTCAACATATGTAAGTCAATAAATATAATACACTATGTTAACAGAGTCAAGGACAAAAATCATATGATCCTCTCAACAGATGCAGAAAAAGCACTTGACAAAATTCTACACCCATTCATGATAAAAACCCTGCAAAAAATTGGAATAGATGGTCTATATCTCAACTTAATAAAGGCTATGTATGAAAAAACACCAGCCAACATCATATTAAATGGCCAAAAACTGAAAACCTTCCCCTTAAAATCAGGAACAAGACAAGGATGCCAACTATCTCCACTCCTCTTTGGTATAGTTCTGGAAACATTAGCCACAGCAATTAGACAAGAGAAAGAAATTAAAACAATAAAGATAGGAAAGGAAGAAGTTAAACTGTCACTATTTGCTGATGATATGATACTCTACATTGAAGACCCAAAAACTCTACCAAAAGACTTCTAGACTTAATTGACACTTTTAGCAGAGTAGCTGGATACAAGGTCAAGACCCAAAAATCAATAGCCTTCTTGTACACAAATAACAGACTCACTGAGAGAGAAATAAGGGAAAAAATTCCTTTCACAATAGCATCCAAAAAATG